CCCCAAAACCCCAAAACCCCACTATACCTAATTAAAAAATATAAGGAGATAATTAATAATATAGAGTAAAATATTATTTTTCACAGAAATTGGTAGGAACTTTAAAAAACGAAACATGTTTGGTATTAAAATAAATAATAATTTTAATTGACCGAGGTTTATGGGCTGCAACTCATCAAAGTAGTCGATATATCTAGTCTCTGATGGCAAAAAGGTAAAGGTTGACAAGTGGGCTTCGCCAGATATCAAGTTCGAAAAATCTCAGACAATATCAAGTGTCATCTCTAGTTAGTTAGAAGAGAAAAGAATAAGCTAACTGAAATCATTGAGAAAATCACAGTTTTAAAACACAGAGAACTGGCTGCCCCCCATTGATGAAGAGGAAAATAAAGTAGATTCGAAAGAAGTGGCCTTGAAAGAGAGAAAGACCAAAGTTGTTATCAATGAAGATCATTTGGCTAAGAATGCTACTTAAAAGCAATCTCGAAAGGTAATGCAAGATAGTATCATAGGCAATAAATTGCAACAACAGTCAAAAGAAAGGGCCAGAATAAATGATAAAAAGAAGAGTATGGAACTAATCAAGAGCAGTAACAGAAAAAAATCAAAAGATAAAGTAGTTTAAGAACAAGTTAAAAGTAAAAATAGATCTCCTAAACGAGGCGCTGACGAATAAGCTACCTTTATTATTAAGAAAACAAAAATAGTCTACAAAGGAGACCTAGATAACTTTAGTTCCAGGCAACTGCCATTTAATCGCAGAGTAAAACAAAAAAGCAGTAATCTAAGTGTCCTTAAGAAAACCTTTGACTTATCTAAAGAATAAGACTACATCTAAAGCAATTGTAAGTATAAATTTAATCAATTTAAATTTTAGTCATGCAATTTACAACTCTAAATTCATCATTCGTCATGAACAATTCATTCATGAAAAAGCAATCATTCCTTGAAAAATCTGACTTTGAAGACTCTCAAAACACTTAGATACATAATGCGACAGAGGCTTTACCAATTATATAAGAATAATAGGTATTTTAGAGCGTGACTTAGCAAAAGAGACCTTCAAATGTAATTGATCGGCGTAGAATATCCAGTGCAAAATAAGAAAAGAGAGTATCGAATGTAAGTAAAAAGCAAACTTTAGTCTTGGAATCCTAGAACAGTCAAAAAGAACTAAATAACTCTTCAAATCTCAGCATCAAAAGAACATCAAGATCGCTTTCATTGAATTAAAGGATTAACTCAGGAGGAGATGAAAAAACGTAAACTAACAATGATAAACCATATGAACTACCCTAAATTAACATCTTAGTAATTGAAAATCCAAATCACCATGAGAACGAAGTTGACGGAGTAAGACAATCAAGACATAATTTAAGCAATCACCTAAGAGTATCATAAAACTCAATGAATTCTCAGTACTACTATCAGAAGATTAATAAATAGCAAGTATACTTGAATGATATCTCTAGCAGTTTACATCCTATGAGGCAGAGTAATTTCAGTTCAAATAAGACAGAGTAAATCAGAATTCCTATTCCTTAAGGTTCTGTCTATAAGTAGAGACCTAAGAGAGGAGTAGACAGGGCATTTTCAGAAAGAAACTCTCCGAGAGATGAATTAGTAAGGATTTCAAAATCAATTAATATGACACTGAACGAATTAAACAGATCTATGGCTAATTCTATAAATCTAGGTCAATTGCAGCACAAGATTGAAAAGGAAATTAGAAGGTAAAAGGAAAAGGGCAATAGATTTAACATCAGAGTAGCACCTTCAGTAGATTTGACACCAACTCCAACATACAATATTATACAAAACTAACCGGAAAATTTCTAGCTAACAGAGCAATAAACATCAAGTCACAAGAAAACTTTCTCATTTGGGACTAACTTTTTTGATCAAGATAATAATAACAACGCTAATATGGCTTATTTAATGTAACCTGGAGGGAATTAGCACTATTCCATGCAGCATTTTTAAATTCCTTAAATAAATTAATCGTAGCTGCTTGAGGAAGATGACAGTCCAAAGTCTAAATACTCAGATGGAAGGAAAGTTGAGGAGACTGAGGCATCTTATTTAAAGCCATCTCAGTATTTGGAGAAACTGACTCAATCTCAAATCATTAAGTAATCCTAGGAAAGAACTCATTTTCTAAGGCAATCCTACTCAAATTTAAATTCAGACTAAGCAAGACCGCTTTCGTCAAATAACCTGTTGCCAGTTTCGCAATTTAATTACGAAATTTTGAGAAAATCAATGAATAAAAAAGACTCAGAACAATTTTCCCCTAACTTTAAATTAAGTCTGTCAGAAATGATAAATATGAGTCCAAATGAAAATCCCTATCCCCAGCCAAAGAATAATGACCATCTCAGGAAGACCACTTAAATGTCTATTCTAAGACATCCGCATCATAGTGATGTAAAAGTAAATGTATTCCATAATACTCCTGGTGAAAAACCTGAGAGAAGCTTTATTTTTGACAGTATGATGCTTTTAAGCAATGAAAAACCGAATAACTACACCTAATATAGTGGCTACAGTGGTTCAAGAAAAGGATCAGATCTTAAGTCAAACTAATCGAATAGGGAGTCCAAGCAAGCAGACTATAACTCAAACGTTGATGATGAGAATATGATGGGTTTAGATGATAATTAGCTGAATTTAATGACGGAGTCTGAAGGTAACTCTTCATCATAGGATGAAATTTATGAGACATAAGAGCCTAATCTGCTATTGGAATCTATAATCAAAGCTAAAGCCTAGAAAAAGAATACTACATATGCGAATGGATAATAGAACTTTCAAGGATCTTCAGCAAGTGTGGTCTATAATGTTAAAGGATCATCTTCGGATGTTTTATAAAATCCGTCTTCAGTTCTTTCAGGGTTAGTATCCCGTCGAACTACTTCCTAGAATAGATAGGTGCAGTTTAAAAATTCTGATAGAACTGTGTCTAAAAACAGTTCAGCGAATTTAGTAAAATTCCTAAATCGAATCATGTAGCTAGAAAACGAGGATGATGAGGATGAAGACGAAGATTTTGCAAATGGATCTTCAAGTGCTATTCCAAATCAGCAGTATGTGCCATAAAACCTGAGCTCAAACCCCTAGAATTTGGATAGCGCAATATATCCAATTGACAGTAGTTAGCTTAGAAACTAGTATTCAAGAAGAAAATCTAAAAAGACAAGTAAGATTAAAGCTACCAGATATAGACATAGTGTTAATTTCGTAGAATATAAGTTTCCTGAAGAGACTTGATTAGAGAATTCAACTAAGTATTATAAAATCAATTTGAGGCAACAAGTAATACAAACTATATGATTTATTATTATAATACTAAATTTAATTTCCTTAATCAATCGGATGAAACGGGGTTTTGGGGTTTTGGGGTTTTGGGG